AATATTGTATCTCTGGGATACAATACATTCTGTGAAGCAGTGACTGGGGAGAACGTTGCCGAGAAAGTTCCATGAGAAGCCGTTCATTCGGCCTCGGTATGTTCTTGTATTATGAACCAAGTGAAAACAGAAAGATGCTGGTGAATTTAGACCTTAAGTCAGAACTGAAGGCGCCAGAATCTAGATGCCAAGTATTCTTCTAGATTGCCAAGTACTCTTCAGCGACAAGAAGTGTCTGGCAACTTTGGCTCCTAGGCAAAGGCTTCACTGTTTGAACTTGTTCTGTCCTGAAAAGTTGATAAGGGCTATAACAGAGGGGCATTTCTTAGACGAATAGATCTAAATGATGATGTTTTCTGGATAATTTGAGTAAAATGAGTTCTATATGTGTCTGACTGTGGTGTGTGTGTGTGTGTGTGTGTGTGTGTGTGTGTCTGTGATCGGAATACAAGAGTGCAAAGGGAGACACTGGGCTTAGATACCTGTTCTAAGGACTGTAAATGCCCCAGTCTTTCTCTCGATTTTATCTCTGAGCAAACAGTTGCTCTTTGACTATCCAGTGTGCAGGACAAAAACATGTTATTACCTGTCAACAGTCCAGTCCTCACTTGCTGTTGTAGTGAGAAAATGCCAGGTTCAGATCTTATTTTCACAGATGAGGCTGGGCGGTTCGAGGATCTGGGAAACAGACTCTGGCTTAGCGCTCCTGCTGGTATGGCTTTATTATTTTATGGTGGAAAATGAAAACACTGAGAGGAGAGAAGTAGAAGAAGAGGAGGGGGAGGAAGAGGAGGATGAGAAAGGAGGAGAGAGGAAGAGGAAGAGAAAGAAGAAGAAAAGATGAGAGGATGGGGAAACCTGTTTTCTCTTGAAACCTTCATCTCTCTCTTTGATCAGATACCCAGTTCTGGGAGCTGAGGCTATAAAGCAGCGGTTCTCAGCCTATGGGTAGTGACGCCTTTGGGATCGAAGGATCCTTTCGCAGGGGTCACCTAAGACCATTGGAAAAGACAGATGTTTACATTACAGTTCCTAACAGTAGTGAAATTACAGTTATGAAGTAGCAATGAAAATAATTTTATGGTTGAGAGTCCCCACAACATGAGGAACCATATGAAAGGGGCACAGCATTCGGGAGATTGAGAACCATTGCTGTAGCAGCTCATTGGCTTAACAAGACTATACCACAGTCCCTGTGCTGAGGTAATTGGTGTGATGCACACGTGGCTGTGACATTCTCAGTGCTTGTAGTCTAAGACGGAGTAGAGGCGATTGAACTATCATATTCAATTACAGTTGCATATGGATATATAATTACAGTGAATAGAGCTAAGGGGCATTAGAAAAAGCCCTAACACTGACTAACCAAGACTTAGAATCTTTGGGGGTGTTGGGGAGTCTAAGTACGGTCACATGGTGTTTTGAAAGGATTACTCTGGACAAGGCTGACATGAGAGTTGTCAGTGTGTCCAGAGGAGCAGAAATCTATGGAACAGGTCCCAGCAAGGAGTTTGATGATGGAGACAGAAAGGAGCCTATTTGAGAAACCTTTTGGTGTGGGATAATTGTCTGTATTCTGTTAATCATGTTTTAAATAAATGCTGATTGGCCAGGCTGGATGTGTAGGTGGGAAAACCAGACAGGAAGTGGAAATGATGCAAGGAGAGCAGGAGAATTCTGGGGAGGAGGAAGTTGATTCCTCCCACTCCTACCCAGATCACCGAAGCAGCAGGATGTGAGCTGCCCCACTGAAAAAGGTACTGAGCCACATGGCTAACATAGATCAGAAAAATGGGTTAATCAAGATGTGAGAGTTAACTAATAAGTAGCCAGATCTAATGGGCCAATCAGCATTATAACTTACGGAGTCCTTTGTGTGATTTTTCTCGGGGACTACACAGGCTGGGGGAACTGGGTGGGACAGAAAAACCCAAATAACAAACAGGCCCCCTCATGTTACAGAATGGCGCCCACGTGGATAACTGCAGCCAAACAAAGCCTGAGAAAGCTTGGGAAAGACTGGAGTAAAGCATTTTGGTTTTCAGCCGTAGCAGTAAAAAAGCTGTGCTGTTTTAAAATGCTGGCTTTCTGGGCCATCCTGCCAGGGAAAACTCTGACTCTTTCAAGCAGGCTGTCCTGATGGATACAATGTTGCAGCTTGCTTCCTGGCAAGGACCTTGAAATGCCTTAAGATCTTTTGACTGTTGTTTTCTCCATATTCCTTAGCAAATTAAAGACCCACATGGTCAGAAAGAGAGAGATATACAGTAAAGAGAGATTCAAAGAAAAAAAAAACAAACCTCTAAATGGTTTAAAGTCCTTAGAAATAAAAAAAAAAAGAAAGAGAGTAGTTGGGTGTGGTGGTACACACCTTTAATCCCAGCACTGGGGAGGCAGAGACAGACGGATCTCTGGGAGTTTAAGGATAGCCTGGTTTACAGAGGGAGTTCCAGGACAAAGATATGCAGAGAACCTGTCTCAAAAAGCCAAAAGTTAAAAATAAAAATAAAAAAATAGAGGTTAAAATAAAGCCACGTAAAGATGGAAAATACACAGAGAATCTTGATACTGTATGCTATTATGCTCTCTTTGAATTGTTTAAATGCTGAGGAAGGAGCAACAGCTGCTAAAAGATATTTGCTTATAAATGCTGCAGAATTAATCCAAGATAAGTATTTTGAAAATACCTTGGCTTCAAAATTGAAGTCAAAAGGTATGTTACTTTGGAGAAGAGATTTTGCTTTTGTTTCCACAGAAAATGAGAGGCTCTGGATTTATTTAGAGTTAAGAAAAATCATCTTTGACCAAGGGAGGCCACCTGAAAAATCTCCGACAGGAATAGATGGCCCAGATGTCTGAGTTCTTCATCCAGAATAGATTCAAGACTGCTGCCTGAGATGATCAAGACTCACAGGATACTTCCTTCAGCCAGGACTTGATCATAACTCTAAACTTCCTTTAGGTCCCCTTAAGATTATCAGTGCCCCCAACAAGCAGGAAGTAGCCTGGAATACATACTACGCCCACATTCCCCCAAAAATGGACTGGATATTTTCCTTTGTTTTTTTTTTTTTTAAAAAGAGGGGGAAGTGGTGTGGGATAATTGTCTGTATTCTGTTAATCATGTTTTAAATAAATGCTGATTGGCCAGGCTGGATGTGTAGGTGGGAAAACCAGACAGGAAGTGAAAATGATGCAAGGAGAGCAGGAGAATTCTGGGGAGGAGGAAGTTGATTCCTCCCACTCCTGCCTAGGTCACCGAAGCAGCAGGATGTGAGCTGCCCCACTGAAAAAGGTACTGAGCCACATGGCTAACATAGATCAGAAAAATGGGTTAATCAAGATGTGAGAGTTAACTAATAAGTAGCCAGACCTAATGGGCCAATCAGCTTTGTAACTTATAGAGATCTCTTGTGTGATTTTTCTCTGAGACTAAATAGCTAGAGAGCTGGGTGGGACAGAAACCCCCAACAAACAAACAGGCCCCCTCATGTTACACCTTTGGTGGGTAAGCTTAACTGAACTTGGTAAAGAGCTGGATGAGTGGGGTGGGGCACAGGAACTTGATATCAAGAATGAAACCCTGAAGTTTAAAACTCTTTAGCAGATTTCTAGGTTAATCCAAATTCAAACAACATCAAAAAGCAAAATGTATACACCTACGAATCAACAAAATGCAGGCAGAGAAAAATAGAACTTGAGAAAATGTCCCATCACTAACCCTTGAGCAGAATTCCCTGTCCACCAGTGTGTGAAGATCAGGATATAATATATTTAGTGCACAATTCATGGCCAAAGTTCTCACCAGGTACACAGTACAATATATACCACTTAAGAACACAGTTTTTTTTGAACCTCCAGCTGTGGAGTCATTCTAGCTGTGTTATCAAAGTGCCGTCGAGTTTATGATCATCCCTGTGCCCGCTTCAAGAGTAGTTGAGGAAGCCTGAGACAGGCAAGGTAACAATGTGTGCTCCAAGGAATGGGCCTTGTAGCTTAAGTAAGAAACACTTCTATGACTTTAGCAGTAGTTAGTTTTTCTTATGTCTCAAATCATAGAAATGCCTTAGATAGGGCTATGGTTGTATAAGCTCTGTAGCTCATAAATTTACAGTGCATTTTTCTTGTGAGCAGGCAGTAGATACTCCTTAGTATCTCTTGAGGGACAGAACACTACAGCAATAAATATTAAGTAAGCCAGTATTAGACTCACATTATTAAAACCTTGTACTGATACTCAGGACATTTTTCAACAAGGGTCTATTGAGAATTTAAGGAATACCGAGAGGTGATGGCATGCGCTGATGAGCTTCCTGCCTTTAGGATGCTTATGCTCTATTTGGGAAGGATACTAACGCAAGCCACAGATGACGTCATTTAATATAGCCGTGATGGTCAAAGTCAACTTGGCTACTTTGAGAGATGCCTGAGGGTGTGTGTGTGTGTGTGTGTGTGTGTGTGTGTGTGTGTGTGTGTTGGCCAGAGAATAACCTCAGCTGTTGGTTCTCACCATCTACCTTGTTTGAGACAGAGTCTCTCTGTTGTTCCCTACTGTGTACACCAGGCTATCTGGCCTTTGTGTGTCCAGTGGTTTTCTGGTTTTACCTCCAATCTCCCCAGGGAGATGCACTGGAATTATAGACATGGGAACTGTGCCCTGCTTTCACCTGGTATCTTAGTGGATTTTCTATTGCTGTGAAGCGATCAGGACCAAGGCAACTTATGAAAGAAAACATTTAGTTGGGAGCTTTCTTCAGTTTCAGAGGGCGAGTCTTTGACCAGCATGGTGTGTATGGGGGGCGTAGCTGCAGGCAGGCATGGAGCTGGAGCAGTAGCTGAGAGCTCACATCTTAATCTGAAAGGAGGCAGAAGGAGCAAGACCAGACCTGGCATGGGCTTTTGAAACCTCAAATTCCACCCCCAGTGAAACACCTCCTCCAACAAGGCTACGCCTCCTAATCTTCCCCAAACAGTTCCTCCACTTTGTGGGGCCACTCTTGTTCAGAACAGAACTTGGGTCACCATTGCTGTTTATGCAGCGAGGTCTTCACTCACTGAGCCATCTCCCCCTACACCCAGGATTACTCTCAAAGCATACCTCTAGGTATGTCTGAAGAGATGTTTCCATAGAAGACTGACTTATGAAAGAGCAGCTAGGAAGCAGATCCACCCTGAATATGGGCAGTACCACCTGTTATGCTGGGAGCCTGGAAGGAATAAAAGGGAAAGGAGACAGACAGACAGACAGACAGACTGACTGACAGACAGCACAGGAGATCTCTCTCATATTCTGACTGTTCCAGTCTGCCACACCCTCCTTACCCTGATGAACCTGACATCCCCAACACCATGCAAAACAAACCCTCCCTCTTGAGTTGTTCATGTCAAGTATTTCTTCAGAACAACGTGAAGGTAACGGACACAGCCATGAAGAAAGGCCACCTAATCAAAGAACCCCTGTATAAGGAGAAGATGCTTGAGCTGGAGCAAGACTGGTGAGAAGAGGGTGTGAGAGGGAAAAATATCCAGGTAAGGGAACAGCGGGGCCAATGTCCTGAGGTAGAAAACAGCTTGGTGGCTTCTCCAACAACAACAACAACAATACTAGTATGGGAGAAAGACAGAGAGAGGGAGGAAGGGAAGGGGAGAGAGGAGGAAGGGAAGGAGAGGGGGGAGGAAAGGAAAGGATGGAAGAAAGGAGGGAAGGAAAGAAGGAAGGAAGGAAGGAAGGAAGGAAGGAAGGAAGGAAGGAAGGAAGGAAAGAAAGGAGGGAGGAAGGGAGGAAAAGGAAGCTAGAAAGCTCGTCTGTTTGAATTGCCCCAAGGCCAGAAAAGAAGAGCAGTAAGAGAACAGTCAAAGACCTACACCTTTGCCTCTTGAGATATAGTGGAGTTTTGGGTTATTTTAAGTGTAGGAGGAAACCATTAAACAGGACATTGTCTTAATGCCAGCAGTATTTAAGATCATTCTAGCTGCTTGGTGGAGGATTGACAAGATAGGCACACTGAGATAAGGAGGACATCAGCAGAGAAGGCTGGGAGCTTCAGGCCAGCTGTAGGGGAAGGAACAGGGAGATGGGTGAGTAGCTGCTGTCTTCTGGATATGAGCTGATAAGGTTTTCTGGCAGACTAGCTGTAGAATGCTCAGATAAAACAGAAGTATTGGAACTGTGCAGGAAGGAGCCAACCCCGATCCTTACAGTCTATTGGTCTTTTGCGAGAAACAGATGTCCTCCTGTCCTGCTGAACAGTTTCCTTATTAAAGTTATTTTATTGTTCTGTCTTGGGGAAACAGGGGAGGGAGGGAGAGAGGGAGGGAAGGAGAGACGGAGGGTCGGAGAGACAGACAGAGAGACAGGGAGGGAGAGGGAGAGAGAGAGAGAGAGAGAGACAGACAGACAGACAGACAGACAGACAGAAAAATCAAACATGAGTGAGTGCCATGGTCGCAGCCATCTTAGTGCCTAGTCCATTAATTTAAGATTTAAAAACTGTGTGTATGTGTGCCCAAGTGTACATATGAAGGTATGTCATATGCAGATACCCTCAGAGGTCAGAATAGGGTGTCAGCTCCCCTGGATCTGGAGTTCCAGGTGTTTGGGAGTCACCCCATGTGAGTGCTGGGAACTGAATGCAGGTCTTCGCCAGAGCAGCAAATGCTCTAAACTGCTGAGCTATTTCTCCAGTTCCCAAGTCCCTTCATTTAAGGAGGACAGGGAGAGTAACAGGATTGACCGTTTTGTCTTGATGCCCACTGCTAGCTTTAGTCTGCAGCCCACTTCCTGGATCTGGCTTCTTGTCTTGGCCAAGATTATGTGTCTGTGCCCCAAGAGCTTGTGATAAGATGATAGGCTGGCCCCCTTTGGCTCCCTGCCTTCTGCCTCCAGAGCAAACCTAGCCCCAGAAGCCAGGGTTGGAGCTGGGTCACCCCTGTGATTCGGATAGAGAGCATAGCAGGGTGTAGCTGTCTTGCAGGCTGCTCCAAAGTTGGCTTTAGACATGAGACTAAGGTCAGGCATGTGGCTGAGATTACATATGTGCATCTGGCAGAAGTCATATCAAGACTTAGGAAAACAGATCTAACTTCAGCTGTTCTTGGCAGTGCAATCTCGTGGCTGATGATACACAGAGAATCTCTACGGTGTTTTCTCCATGCTGGGTGGGTCATCCATACTCCCAGAAATGCGCTCTCTTGTTTGAAGGTAAAGCAGAGTGTCACTCAGCATAAAACCAGATTCAGCAAGGATAGTTCAAAGAAGCAAATCAAAGAGGTGCGGGTGGGGCTCGGGCTCAGGGAACTAACTGAATAGGACGAACCAGCCAAGGTCAGCAATGATGGCAGGCATTTAGCATCCGGAGGGCAAAGGGAACAAAGGGAGGAACAGAGCTTGCCTGTACCAGGCCACAGCTGGAACCACAGATTAGGCATCTCTGTCCTGCTGAATCACACAGGAAAGAGTCTCTGCCAGGGACCTGGCCCAGCCGTGGGAGAAAGCGTGGAAAGGACAGTCATCCCTTCTCCTGTCCCAGGGATGTCGGCCCAGCAGTGGGTGAGGGCACGGAAGGGACATTCATCCCTTTGCCTGTCACCTCCCACGGGAAGGAGGGTGAGTCAGGAGCAGCAGGAAGAATCACCAGCACAGAGGGGAGGTCATTGTCTCCAGTCATAGGACTGGCATTGTTTCTAAACACACACACACACACACACACACACACACACACACACACACACAAACACGAGTTAGTTGCTGCCCACCTTTGTTTGCTGTAATGTTATTCTGGAAGTGATGTTGTATATGCTTAAGGCATTGTTGTGGTTTTGGTTCTGTGTCCTATCGGTGCAGAAAGAAGGCAGACAACACAAAATTTGCTTTTTTATTTATTGCCAGGTGCTGCTTAATGTTGTTCCCATCAGCAATAGGCCGAAAATGATAGAAGTGGTCTCATGACAGCGCCTAGTGATTTCCTTGCCCTTTTAGTTCGTCTAAATAGTCTCTGCGATTTGCACAGTAAGAAATCATCTGCATTCTTGTCCTTAAATGACAGGTGACTGGTTGTGTAAGCTGTGTGCGCTATGATGTGCACATCTTGCTCCAGTATACTGTACACAGGGAGAGTTCTGGGAGAACTTGTAAATCCATATAGGCTTTTTCTTAGCCTTGTTAGAGGATTGCTGTGAGTACTAAATATTTGTCTATAGAGCCCTTAGAACAATGCCTCAGAAGAAGCCTAACAAGGAGGAAGTGTGTGTGTGTGTGTGTGTGTGTGTGTGTGTATGTATGTGTGTGTGTGTGTGTAGAACAAGCCCTTGTATTTCTTGGAGTAAAGTGCCCTATTACAAACTTACTGTCCTCATCCACAAAATGACACCAATTCACAGCGCCTTGCCCACCTCATTACTGGTTGTTTATAGCTCCCCCACCCAGTTAAATCAAGAATGAAATGAATGTTTTCATAGCAGCTTTGATGAGATGTAATTTATAAATCATAAGATTCGCCCATGTAACGTGCTACTGTTCAGCAAACTTTAGTGCATTCTTCAGTGTGTCATTCCCTGATACTAGAACATTTTGATGCCCCCAAAAGAAACCTGTAGCCACCATAGTTTGTCTGATCCCCAGCCCTACCAGATCCAGACAACCGCCAGTTATGTGTCTGTTTGTCTTTCCTTTCTGGGGGTATTAGGTAAGTGGAATCCTGCAATATGTGGGCTTTTGTATCTGTCCTATTTCATTTACCATAAAAATAAAAGGTGCACACATTCTTGGGCACTCAGAATCTACTGCTGAGGATTCCATAATACATAACAACCATCTTTTTGGTTTTGGTTTTGGTTTTTGAGATAAAGTCTCCAGCCCAGCAGGTATCAAGCTCCCTGTGTAGCTGAATACACCCTTCAACTTCTAATCCTCCTTCTTCTCCCTCCCCAGGGGGCTGGGATTGCAGAAAGCGGCCATCACATCCAGTTTATATGGTGCTGAGGATTGAATCCAGGACCACCTCAGCTCCATCACCAGCCCTGACTACATTTTGCTGACTCATCAGCGGCAGATGTTTAAACCGTTTCCAAGATGAACGATCCTTACAACTTAGCCTTTGCCCACATCTAGTTTAGTTCCTTCACATGCATTCCTGAACTTAGATGCCAGGTCAAAGATTAGGAGCCCAGTTTTCTAGGCTTCAGAATATAACACATGCCTCATCTAGACTCTATCACTTGAAGAGTCCCTTGTCATCTGCAGAGTCACTGTTGGACAGCCAGTGAGCTACAAAATGCTGTGTTTCTCCCCATGCCTGGAGATATTACAATCGAACCCTCTGAATCCACCACCCCTCAGGACTCTGCCCTGTTTGGGGTGTCCTCAGTTCTGACGGACAGTGACAAGCCAAACAGAAACGAACACGGTTTACGTGTGCAGATACCCATTCCTGGTAACTGCTTCTAGTCTTGTGCTGGTGAAAACACTTGGAAACTAAGAGACTCTGAATGGACTTGCTTACTTTTTTTTTTAAAGACAGTCCCACTGTGTCGCTCTGGCTGGCCAGTGTAGACCAAACTGACCTGGATCTCATCGAGAGTGCTAGGATCAAAGGTGTGTGCCAACATGCCCTGGGTCCCTTTTTGTTTGTTTGTTTGGTTGGTTGCTTTTTAATGCATGTTTCCACTACCAACCTCTTCAAGGTGGTTTAGAGTCCACAAGAATCACTTCTCATAATAGTGGAATTTGGACCCACGTTTTCAAGCCCAGAGGACACTAAATATCATCAGGCTCCCGATCTATGTATTTGCAAATGTGTTATGGGTCAACTGACTTCTCCAACCTTAGAAAGTGAAGTTGAGGGTAAATATATTTCCTCCATGTTGCAGTTTTTAATCTGTAGAGCCATCAAACTCTTGTGGGGGCCTCCTGGGGACAATTTCCTCACGCTTCTTCTCTATTACATGAGAGGATCCGGTGGGGAAGGGAGCTGGTGGATGAACACCAAACTGAAGCAGCAGCTTCTGAGAGTCCTGGAGAGTGTTTACAAATAGCATGGTCTCTGCAGCAACCAAGAGCCACAGATAAGAGAGCCGCCTCCTTGACAGCTGTCTGGGATCTTTCCCAAGCCTGAAAAACATTCCCGGGCCATGGTGACAAGAATGGCTGACTGTGCCTCCTCGCCCCTGGTCTCTCCTCTTCCTCTACTAGCCTTTCTGGTCTCAGACAAGAGGTCTAACTGGCACACCCAGGAAAACCACCCACTGCCCCACCTGGCTCCCGGTGCCCTCAGTGCCAATGGGGCTTGCCTTGATCTTTGCTACACCTTAAGAACATCAACACTTCAGGAAGAAAGTTTGGGGGCTGCGAATAAGTGTTCTTCCCTTGATGCTCAGCTTTCAAGAGGCACCGTAATAAACTGCATTCAGTTTTATTTTTGTTTCTTTAGGTTTGGTTTTGTGGCGGGAACGTGCTTTAAGATGTGTGTGTATGTGTGTATGTGCGCGCGCACACTTGTGTGGGAGTGTGCATGGAGGCTACAGAACAACCTTGTGTGTGATTTCTTAGATGGCATCCACTTTGTTTTTTGATTCTTATTGAAGATAGGGTCTCTCACTTGCCTGGAACCCACCATGTAGGCTAAACAGACTGGACAGTCCCTGGGTCTGCCTGTTTGTATTGCCTCAGGATGGGGATTGCAAGCATGGGCTCCCACATCTCAAATTCAAGTCCTTGTGCTTTCAAAGCAAGTACTTTACCAACAGCTGCCCCCCTAGCCCTAGGGCATCTAGTGTTAAGTTATGAACTTTGTCGTAGATGCTATCATGCCCATTTTAAGGATGAGAAAGTTGAAACACAGTTATGCTAAAAATGCACAAATAATCTCGCATGAAATACAGACCCCCTAGGGCTGGAACTATAGATCAGTGGTGGGTTGTTTACCACAACTGAGGCTGTGGGTTCAATCCTTAGGACTACAGAAACTAAAAACAAAGCAAACAACAAAAGCGCCAGACAGATGAGTAAATACAGACTCCTTATGGACGCTCTTTGAAAATGCATCCATGTCTAATAGTAAAAGAAGGTGATTTTACTGATGAGCAGTCACATCTGAGCTGGGAGGAGTGTGCCTGTGACAACCATGCCCCATATGGCAAAAGCTGCAGGGCCATGTTTTGCAAGGTGGGCTCATCAAAGCAAGCATCCTGAAGCAGCAGAAAGGTCACTGATTAGGAAACTCGGCAAATGTTGGCTACATTTAGTTCCAAAGGATTCCTGACTGTCTGTCTTCTGGAAGACTCCAGTATAGACATCAGCACTGTAAAACAGAGAATAGGAAAGTATGAGTACTATTTTTGAGGAATGCAATTTAGCATATTAAAGGTCAATTTTTTAATATCCACAACCAAAATAAATTGTGCAATAGCCATGCTTTTTGGCTTAATTTTTTTTTAAAAAAAAGATGAGGTACATATATGGTGAATTATTTGTTTAGTTAGTAGAAAGTATATCTCCCTCTAGCCTCTGCCACTGTGTTTCTTCCTTAGGAAATGAGTATAGATTTTCAGTTCTGAGAGAATGAAGGTATGTGTGTGTGACTGTCTATGCTTATGAGTATATGTAAGTATATGCGTGCCTTCCACATGTGAGGCATACTCTTGTATAACGTTCTTGTTTTGTCGATATATACACCATTGCTACAGAAAAAAGCTTTATCATTTGTTTTCACATCTACACTCCATTCTGTGGTATGGATGTATCGGGTCTGTTTATCCGGCACCATACTGATGGACATTCGGAGTATTCCTAACCTGTGTTACTACAGACAGAGCTGCCGTGGGTCCTTTATGCATTTGTGTTTGTTGCCATGATGTATCTTCTACCAGCACTTAATTTAAAACACATGTGGAGGCTGGGGCTTAGTGGAAGAGTCCCTACCTCAGATGCACGAGGTGGGAATACCCGCCCCCCCCCCCAGCTGTTACACAAGCAAGGCATAAGCAAAGCCAGAGCAAAACAAAGGTATAAGGATAAGGGACCGCCCATGTTTATAGTGTGCTAATGACTGCTTTAATCCAGGGAGGGAAGAAATCTGGGGAACCCTAGACCCATGCCCTTGTTTATAGTCTGCTAATGACTACTTTAATCCAGAGAGAGAAGAAATCTAGGGAGCCTTAGACCCAAGTCCTGGGAAAATGTTACCAAAGATTGCCCAGGACAGTGAGAATCAAAAGAGTCTGTAACGTAAGATTTTTTTTTTGAAGTCTTGTTTCTTGAGGCAAATACAGACATTCGGATGAATGATTATGTTCACTTTCCTCCCTTTCATAAACTGCAACCAAAGGCGTGGAGCCTCTAGGAAGTTGACTCCCCACTGAATATCCTTTCTCCCACTTGACCACTTGAAGCAGACTGTGTGGGTCATTCAGGGTCAGAAGCCCTGGTCCTGCTTTCTTATCCACTTGTACTTCATTTAATTTCTGCCAAATAACATTTAGCTGTCAGGCTTTAAGAGTCACTCCTGAACAAGCCGTCTTGAACATATTTCTTCTACTTTGTTATTGAATATTAACAAGAAATATGAGTCACCTTTTGCATGTCTTTGGGATCCTTGTATAGGTCTTTGAGAATTTCATACAATGTGTTTTATCATATCCATCCCTCCACCAACTGCTCTCAGGTCCACCCCCCCTTCTCTATCCACCCAACTTCATGTCTCACCTCCCTCTAACCCGTGCAGGTCAATTTGTACTGCTCATATGTTCTTGGATGTGTGGCCTTCCGCTGGAGAATGGCCAATTTATCAGTGCTTACATGCCTAAAACTGGCTTTCTCTCCAAGCAGCTGTCAATTGTCAATAGCTGCTCTCCTGGAGCGGGACTTGATGCCTACTCCCATTTCCATGCAGGGATTTTGTCTGATTTGGCTCTCAGGTATATTTCACGAATGTTTAAATGTTGAAGGAAGGCACTTGTTTGTTTCCCGGCCACCCAGCAGCTCTGAAATTATCACACAGAAACTATATTATTTAAAACACTGCTTGGCCCGTTAACTCTAGCTTCTTATTGGCTAACTTATATCTTAATTTAACTTATTTCTAGTAATCCATGTATCACCACATGGCTGTGGATTGCCCGGTAAAGTTCATCCGGCTCTGGCGGGGCTACATGGCTTCTCTCTGACTCTGCCTCCTTTCTCCCAGCATTCAGTTTAGTTTTCCCCACCTACCTAAGTTCTGCCCTAGCAACAGACCAAGGCGTATATAGGGGACTCCCACATCATTTAAATTCATGTGTGAAATGGCTACCCAGCTATTGATGCAGACATAATGCTCAAAAGTAGATTGGTGGTTTGAGTGTGTTACCATCTGAAACCTTAAATTCCTTATTAGTTCTTTGAGTGTTTTGTACAATGCAATTTAATCATATTCACCCACCCCTTTCCAACTCTTCCAAGACTCACTTCCCTATCTTACTTGGGGAATCTTGTGTCCTTTAAAAATTAAATCAAGACCAGTTTGTGCTACCCAAACATTCTTGGTGGTGTGTCCTTCCACTGGAGCGTGGTCCACGTCCTGGAGCTATACTCTTAGGGAAAACTGTCTTTCTTTCTCCCAGCAGCTAACAGTTGCCAATAGCTCCATGTCTAGTGATGAGCATTGTGCCCACCTCCCCTTCTTGACTGTGTTTGGGATTGCATCAGTCTTGTCCTGAGGTCCTGTGTGCAGCAGCCCTTCTGTTTCTGGAAGACACTCCTCGTGGTCCTCCAGTGCCTCTGGCTCTTAAACTCTCTCCTCTTCCTCTTCTGCTGTGCTCTCTGAGCCTTGGAAGGAGGTACGGTACAGTTTTTTTTATTTTTAATTCAGTAAAACATAAAACTGTTTTTCCTAAGAAATAGATGTTTAGGTAAACCATGTGCTGAAGTGATAGAAATTAATCTTTCCCTATTTTGGTAAATAGCTTTGAAGTTTTCCCTGAGAGGAGTTTCCAGTTGGGTCAACAATGTAGCCACAGGCATCTTTTGGCTTATTTGACACCCCTTTGGTGGAGTGTAGAGCATTCAATTACAGCCACTCCAGAGGCCACCATTCTGACTCGAGCTCTTTATATTCAAGAGCTTTATATATTTATAATGATCTCTATGGTGGGCTCTGCTGTTATTCCCACCCCACTTTGGGACACTGACAGACCGAATAGTGAAGTAAGTTCCTCCAGTGGAGATGATAGAGAGCTAGGATTTGGGGTTATCATTTAAATACTGTGCCAAAATCTAAGTTGGCTTTCTTCTCTGGACTGTTTGAAATACTTTTTAACCCATAAAACATAATCAGCTGGGGCTGGAGGGATGGCTCAGAGGTCAAGAGCATTGCCTGCTCTTCCAAAGGTCCTGAGTTCAATTCCCAGCAACCACATGGTGGCTCACAACCATCTGTAATGAGGTCTGGTGCCCTCTTCCGGCCTGTAGGCAGAATATTGTATACATAATAAATAAATATAAAAAAACATACTCAGCTACTGAAGACAGGTTTTGTAGCTGCTTTGGACTGTCCATCCCTGTGTGTGTGTGTCTGTCTGTCTGTCTGTCTGTGTTCTCTGTCCTGCATCAGAGCAGCCCCACCTCAAAGCTGTCATCTCTCTCGAGGCCAGAAGCATAGTGACAGAAGAGATGGGGAAATGAAAGAAATCGGACTGTCTTACTCACCTTTCCTGGGACAGAAGTGATGTCACCTGAAGTGACATCTAATCACAGCTCTGTGTCCTTATTTGAGGCCAGTTTGAGTGACATAGTTCTGTCACCGTGTGCCACAGCAAACATAAAACAGAATTTTCGTTTAGTTCTGTATATAGACAGAACCCACCCCAAGACCTGTCTGTAATATGTAGCGATGGTGTGGTCAGGGGTGTTCATGGTGACAAGTTCCTGATTCTTCCTTGTGTCAAGAGACTGGAGGTGGTGAGCTGAGGTAAAGTCTGAAAGATAAGGTACCTAGATACCTGTAACCGGGATCTGGACCAGCAATGCAGGCCTAAGTGAGTCTAACCTCGTGAACATCTGATCGCCCACATTTTCCCCCGAAGCTGTGTGAGTTCCTTTCCTACTGGGACATCTCAGAAACCTTACATAAATAAACGACACTTACTGAGCAGTTACTGATGCCAAGAGTTAGTTACACGCTCATATTCCTCCAACATGGAATGGGATCGCTGGCCCCAGGTCACCTGCCAGGCTCATATGAGGAAAGTGCCAAAACCGGGGTTCCATGCAGGCCTTGCGGTCTCTCACTTCTGCATGCCGTCTCCCCACGCACTCTGAGTCCTCAACGTGCCAGATGCAAAGACAGAGATGAAAGGGAGCCTTGATTGCCAGGTTCATCTCCTGCCCCGGGCAGGATGTAATTGCGAGGATAAGAAGAGAGCCTACGATCAGCTGATA